TGTTTTTCTCTTTACATTTATCATCACACTGTAATTTATACTTTATTTAGCAATAGCAATCATATCAGCAAAATCAGTTGTAAAATTAACCCCATTTTTTATAGGCCTGGAGAGAGACCTGGATTATATCCAGAGCCCAAAAAATACAGAATAAAGTAACTATCTAGCTTCTATCCACTTATATGCAAAAAATACCTTAAAAACTAAATTTCTATTTTCACCAGTGGCACTGACTCAGTCTTCACATTTGAAAGAGACTAAGCCTAATTCTCTATGATCACCTATTGTTAAGATTTCCTTTTCCAATACAAATTAGCATCTACCATGTGCCTAAAGATCATATTTAACATATCTTGTGAAAGATATTAACTGAAATTTACTTTTTATTAGTTATTGATGTTAATATTTAGAGTAGACATTTTAGAAGTTGAAGCTTTTTGTACTAATAATATGGGAAACCTAATAATATGGGAAACACTACCATGTGAGGTAACTAAGATTGACTAAGATAAATGCAAACTTCATGAGCTGATAACCTTTACCTATAAAGAAGACTTTGAACTTCTCCTGGTCATTTTTCCCAAATCATTATAGAAACTAGATAATGTTTGGAAAGGACTTTAAAGGGTACTTGTCAGGTTCTGCTTTTAGTGATTCAAAGCACATAATTTCTCTACGCTTGAAAAATTACAATTTCTCTATGCCTGTTTACAGAATGTTTGGAACAAGAGTCTACTAAAGAAAAGAAAATTCTAATTTTGTATTTTAATGCCAATGGCATTTTATAATGAAAATATTCCAAATAGAGACTAGCCAAAAAATATATATCTATGTAAATGTTGCTGAAATTACATATTGGCAGTTTCTTTCTTTCAAGCATGAGAATTGTCAGACATTCTTTTGGCTGTCTGAGGTTTAATAAGGAGTCCTGGCAGCAAGACAAAGCAAGCTAGACCTTAAAAACACCCCAGAAAAGGGACACTAAATAGAAATCAGACAGCAGGACAAGAGGATCCAAGGGACTCCTAGATCCAAGGGATTCCAAGTCCGGTGATATAAAAGCTTTGAGGTTTGTATTCTTGAACCAGAATGACTGCAGAGCAAAAGGTAGAAGGAGCAAAGAGGAGAAAGATCCATGAAAACGGTTCAGGAAGGGTGAGGATTGTGTCTGACAGCTGGTCTTTTGCTATCATGGCTCTAACCAGTACCCACAATTATTAATGTGTTTATGTATTACTAGTACTGCTGCTGCAGTCCGTGTTCCAGGGCCCAAAGTCCTTAAGAACACCTTATAGAGAAGCACTGTAAAGACAATCAGGAAATGCTCCTGTTAATCACTTGAAGCCACCTCAGGTCAGACTTTGCTTGCCTTTGAGGGAGTATTAGCATTTAACTCCTATATTTGTAGCTATTTAAATTTTTTATCCTTTTTGAGTGTTATTTTGATGAATTTTTAGTATCATATCTTCTAATACCATTTTCTTTATGCACTATCTTTTTTACCATGATATCTCATTCTAATTTACCAATTGTTTTAATACTACATTTTTGGCTACTTATATCTGACAAATTAAAGATAAAGGCAAAAGAAGAGAAAATGAATTATTATTTCCTCCTTTTAGCTTTAGAACTTTTCTAAGAAATAAATCTCCTGAGTATAAATGTAAACTTCAAGGATTTATATACAGTGTTGCTTATAGTACAGTGTTGCTTATAGTGCTTATAGTACTACCATGTAATCTTTAGGCAGTATATACATTGAGCAAAGCTAACTTTCCATTTCCCTGATTACTTGACCTTAGCTAAAAGTTATCACTGTATTCACTTATTCTCCTTTCTCTTTTGCCTAGGAAATTTTATTCTTTCACACTACATTTGTTCAGTTCTTAACAAATGTTCACAATTTTTTTTAATGGGCAGGTCTAGTAAAAAAAGCATTGAATTTATTGACCAGAATAAGGTTTGAAGTTAGATGTAGTGTTTATCTATACAGCCCATCTTGATCAATCAGTAAATTTTAGACTGTACTGTGAGCAAAGAATCCTTGTGCCTTGACATTAAGACACTTTTTCTTTTCTTGAAGAGTTGGGAATCTAGTTAAAATAACAGGCATATATAAATAAGTATAAGGACAGGCATATATAAATAAGTATAAAGACTGAGATATGTGGTTATAATGCAATATGCAATAAAAATCCTAAGATAGAGTGTTTTATAGTACCTAAGTGCAGCAAGAGTGTAAGGGTCATACATTACTTCATAAAGAAGGTACCACTGAAGAAAATATTTTGGTTTTTGTTTTAGTTTGTTAATAATTTCAAACTTCAGAAGTGTCACAAGAATAGAACAAAGAATTCCTGTATCCCTTTCATACAGGCTTCCCCAAATATTAACATTTTGACACATTTGCTTTATCATTTATCCCTATGTATTAAAATGCATACTTTCCTAAACTGCTTGCAACATATATTTGAATTAGCGGTAAAGTAGGGAGGAAATAAAAATATATTCTCTTATATAACCTCAGTACAATTATGAAAATCAAGAACATTTCCACAATTCTATTATGTAATATTATACCAATTAAAATTTGCCAGCTTTTCTAATAATATTCTTTATTGCAAAAGGAAAAAATATTTTGTTCTGATTGGGATCTAACCCAGAATCATGCAGTGCATTTAGCTATGATGTCACTTTGGACTCCTTTAATCTAGAACAATTCCTCAAAATTTTCTTTGTCTTTCATGACTTTTTTTTAATGGTACTGGGGCTTAAACTCAGGCCTACACCTTTAGCCACTCCTCCAGCCCTTTTTTGCAAAGGGTTCTTTCTAGATAGGGTCATGTGGAACTATTTGCCCAGGCTGGCTTAGAACTGCAATCCTCCTGATCTCTGCCTCCTGACTAGTCAGGATTACAGGTGTGAGCCACCAGCACCCAGCTATGACCTTAATATTTTTGGAGCTTATAGATCAGTTATTTTGTACAATGTCCCTCAAAGTTAGATTTTTCTGATGTTTCATAGTGATTCAATTCATTATGCAATTTATCAGGAATACCTCAGATGTGGTATTGTCTCACTCTCAGTACATCATAATTGGGGGCCTGTGTGTTGATTTCTTCATCACTGGTGATATTAACTTTGATTACTTGGCTAAGTTAGTGTCTGCTAGCTTTTCCACTGAGAAATACTTTTTTTGCTTTTTACTTAATAAGTACCTTATGGAGGCATACTTTGAGACCATATAAACATATTGTTTTTGTTGAGGCTTTGCCTTCTAGTTTTAGTATTAATTGATGATTTTTTTTTTACCTGAACCAGTTATCACTATGATGGTTGCCAAAGTGCTGCTTTCTAATTCCAACACTTCTTCACTCTTTAGTTGGCATTCTGTTACAAGAACTTTTAATTACTTCTTTATACTACTGTATGTTCATGGAGTCTTATTTTCATTTTATTAAATAGATTAAAGTCTGTTACTATCCTTTATTTTGATGATCAGGTTGTACCAGATTTGGCCAACTGGAGTCTCTTCAGGCTCTTCCAAGGTGTTTTTGACATATTCCCTTCACTATTGAGTACTTCCTTAATGAAAAAAGTTGTGAAGGAAGAGTAGTAATTTCTGAGGAAACAAAGTGGTGAGAGAAATGTTACTCTAGGCAGAAAGACTATCATTATAGTGTGGCAGAAAAATATGAAATAATACCATGTATTCTGATAATATATAATATTGTCAATATTTAAGTGATACATTAGTGAGCAATGAAGCTGAAAAGGAAGCAAGGAAGAGTTTTATATAGTATTATATATTCTAAGGAATTGAAATTTTGTCTTATAAGTGATAGTAAACCATTAATATAAATTCTAGAGCTATCATTTTGTGACAACAATGCTCTGTTTTATAATCTCATTGCACAGAAATCCTGGAACTTTAATATTTTTATTCAGCCCTAGAAAATAAGCAATCTTTTCATTCATGCTTTCTAATTTTATCAGAAATGCTATGAGACTCACCTTGAATCATCAAGTAGAAAACCTTGTAAAACTATTAAATGGAAAATATGAGAAATTATTTTCAGAGATACAAAGTACCCTGGAATCCCGAGTCTGTTAACTCCACCATTGCCAGTGTTTCCCTGAGCTTTGGAACCAGTTTCTCTTAATGCTTTCCTATATCTGAACCACACATTTTTTTGAATTACTAAAGGCCTGAACTATTTAAGATAAGTATATATAGATATATAGATATATATATTACCATCCTCTTTGCTCTTTTAGTTTCCCAGGGAACTTGTCATAAGTGGTTTGCTGTTCAGAAAGATTCAGAAAGTAGAAATATAAGGGATAGCAGCTGCAAATATTATGTGAAATAGAGGGAGCAGTATTAACAGGGACAGAAGAAGGCTGTTCCTTGAGATATTTAGTATGGTCCAAAGAATGAATAATGATTTGTACTTAGGTAGCTTAGGAAGCTCTTACTGACTGCTGTGGAGAATAAACTTTCCTCTTGAGATTGTGATTTAATCAATAAGAACCTGCATAAACATTTTGTTTCTACTACCATCTATTTTGTGAGGTAAAAGCATCTTTTCTTCATTTACTTGTAATTTAAAAAATAAATCTTTCAGGGCAAGCACAGTGGTCATATTCATAATCTGAGCTACTAAGGAGGCAGATATTGGGAGGATTTCATTTTGAGGCCAGCCCAGGCTAAAAGATAGACCCTATCTCAACCAATAAAAAGCTGGGTGTGGTGGTACACATTTGTCATCCCAGCTACACTGTATACATAAATAGAGTCATGGTCCAAGACAACCCAGGCAAAAATACAAGATCTTATTTGAAAAATAACTAAAGCAAAAAGAGCTAAAGGCAAAGCTCAAGTGCTAGAGTGCTTGCCTAGCAAGTGCAAAGTCCTGAGTTCAAACTCCAGTACTGCCAAAATTAAGAATTTGTAAAGGCCAAGCATGTGCCTCACTTCTGTAATGCCATCTACACAGGAGGTGAAGATGGACAGGATCATGGTTTGAAGCCAGCCTGGACAAAAAGTCAGCAACACCCCATCTTAATAAGTAAGCTGGTCATGGTGGTATGTGCCTGTCATCCTAGCTGCATGGCTACATAGGAAGTATAAATAGGAGAATCAGCCCACGCAAAAATGCAAAAGCCTATCTGAAAAATAACTGAAGTATAAAGGGCTAGCAGAGTGGCTCAAGTGGTAGAGTACCTGCCTAGCAAACAAAGCCTTGAGTTCAAAAGCATACACACACCCCTCTGCCTGCAAATAGATCAGAGAATTAAAATACTCCTTTGAGCCATTCCTTTCAGTTAATTTATTTTATGTGCAAAAGATGCCTGTGCTAACATGCCAATAGAATGAACAAACACTAATTTAACCCATTAACATCAGAGTATGTTAATGAATTCAGCTTAGCCATTCTGTAATGTATAAAATTTCAAAACATATTGTACATAATAAATATGTACAATTTTTATTTATCAGTTAAGAATAAAATAAAAAATCTCAGTGTCAATAAAAAATGCAACCCAATTTAAAATGGGCAATAGACATAAATGGACATTTCTAAAAAGATGACATACATGTAATCAACACTTACGTGAAAAAATGCTTAACATCACTAATAATCATGAAAATTCAAATTAAAACTACAATGAAATATTCTAACACCCCAGTCCAATAAAACAAAAATGGCTATTATCAAAAAAAGTAAAGATAACAGGTGCTGGTGAGGATGTGAAGAAAAAAAAAAAAAAAAAGAAAGAAACCTTGTCCCCTTCTGGTGGAAATGTATATTAGAGCAGTCATTATACAGTATGGAGGTTCCTCAAGAAATTAAGAATACAATTATCATATGATCCAGACACCCCTCTAACTGGGTATATATCCAAAGGAAATTAAATCAGTCTGTTGAATGGAATCTGCACCCTCATATTCTTTGCAGCCCTATTCACAATAGCCAAGAAATGAAAGTAAACTGAAGTGTCCATCAACAATAAATCAATAAAGAAAAAGTAGTATATATGCAAAGTGGAATATTATCCAGCCATAAAAATTAAATCCTGTCATTTGCAGCAACACGGATGGAACTAGAGATCATTATGTTGTATGAAATTAGCCAGATTTTTTTTATATTAGTAAGTTTTTTGTCCTTGTGACAAAATACCTGAGAAATCAATTTAGAGGAAGGATTTTTTAGCTCACAGTTTCAGAGACTTCAGTACATGGTCACTTGGCCATGTTGTTTCTGGGCCTGTGATGAGGCAGAATCACCATGGTGGGGAGCATATGTGGTATAAAAATGCTCACCTCATGTCAGTCAGATAGCAGTGGGGAAAGGGGACAAAATACACCCTTCAAAGGTGTGTCCCCAATGACCTGCTTCCCCAAGTAGGTCTCATCTTCTAAATTTCTACCACCTCGTAATATCCTATTAAGCTATGAATACATAGGTGGATTAATCCATTCATGAAGTCAGAACCCTCATGATCCACTCACCCCCACCCCAAGTTTGAACACTGCTGCATTGATAACCAAGCCTTCAACATAGAAGCTTTTGGACAAACACTTAAGATCCACACCATAACAACACAGTAAGACAAGTATTGCATGATCTTACTCATACATTGAATCTGGAAAAATCAGTCTTAGAAGTTGAGAGTAGAATGGTGCTTACCAGAAGCTGCTAAAAATAGGTGGAAGGGAAAGACCAGGAAAGATTGATCAGTGGGTACTAAGTTACAGTTAGATAAGATTAAGAAGTTCTGGTGTGCTGTTGCACAGTGGGATGACTATTCATAACAATAATATACTACATATTTCAGAAAGGCAGAAGACAGGGTTCTAAGTGTTTTTTACCACAAAGAAGTATGAAATGAGACAGATATCTTTATTTAAGTATTATACAATGTGCATACATGTATTGAAACATCACATGGTATCCCGTTAATATGTACAATTTTATGCTTCCATGTATCGTTAAAATACATTTAAAATAAAAATTTAATTCTATAGATCTGTTAAAAAGTGAATTATTTATCCAATAATATATTCACTTTGTGATATAGAGTTTGTAAACATTCAAGGCTAAGAGAAGTAAAAGATTAGCGCAAAAGACACCACTTGTTTTTTTTTTACTTCCCAACTTTGGACTTTGTTTAAAAGGTTTCGCATTCATTCACACCTCAACTATTTACTGAGTACTCACTGAAAGTATGAGGAAGGCACTGTTCTAAAAGTGGCAAGGGATACAAAGATTAATAAGATACAGGCTCTGTCTTCAAGTCTGCAAAGTAAAGTAGGTATTTAAATGTCTTAAATATAAAAAGGAGAGTGGCCGAGTGCCTGAAGATAATAAACAAGATACAAAAGTATTTAGAGATTTTTTTTCTGGTTAGTAGATACCCGTACTGCAATTTACAAACAAAAAATGAGAACCACCAGTGAGAACCATCAGATAATTTACTATCATTTTGCTCCTGCTACTTACTTACTTGCATGTCTTTCCTTTCTGCTGAGCTGTAATGTTTGTAGCATGGCACATATTACTCTGTGTATCCCAACTCCATAACTGCCCAGTTCATAAAGTATTCTTGATAAATAGGTGTGGATGGATTTATGTTATCACTGATAGTCAAATAAACTTTTCTTCTCAGAAACTAAAAGGGCAGTTCTCCTAAGATTATACACAGTTTGCACATCATATCACAGAATGATCAGATCTGAGACCTGTACTCTTATATAGCTGAATAGAAAGGAGATGCAACTATCTCTATCATTCTCTTCCAATTATACTGGTTATGACTATGTTTTTATGATATTTGATTGATTAGACCCAGACCTCAATGAAAGTGAGTTATAATAAATTTACATTTCACTTGTAGATGAGTGATAAACCACACATACTCCCTTTTTCAGTATTCACCTATAATTTTGTTTTTAAATTTTTTATTAGCATAAATTACAAATTTATTTGTACAAAGGGACTTAATTATGATATTTATATACATACATATAATTCACCCCATCTGTATTACTTTTTTGTTGTTGTTGTTGTTATTGGGGTTTGAATTCAGGATCTCAGGCTTGCTAGACAGGCAATCTATCACATGAGCCACTCCTCCAGCCCTTTCTAGCATTGATTATTTTCAAGATAGTGCCTCACAAACTATTTGCCCAGGCCGGCTTCAAACCATGATCCTCCTGATCTCTGCTTCCTGAGTAACTAGGATGACTGGCATGAGCCACAGGCACCAGCTTTATTACCCTTGTTCAATGCCCCTCCCTCCTCTTTTAACAGCTTTTAATGTGTTTCATTGTGCTATTTTCATGCATATATATAATCTTGATCATATTAACCCCCATCACTTCCTTCTTTCCCTCTCCCCACCCACTGGTTTCCCTCAACTGTCCTCCTTTTACAATCATGTCATATTGTTCTGATTAATTTTTTTAGCTCTAGATTCCACATATGATTGAAACCATGGTGATATTTTGTCTTTCTGAGCTTGGCTTGTCTCGCTTAACATGATGATCACCAGTTCCATCCCTTTTCCCACAAAAGACATAATTTCATTCTTTATTACTAAATAACACTCCATTGCATATATGTACCACATTTTCTTTATCCATTCATTAGTTGTTGGGCACCTAGGCTAATTCTGTTGTGAACAGCACTGTCATAAACTTGAGTATGTGGGTATCTGTTATATGTTGACTTCTATTCTTTGCATATATATGCCCAAGAGTGGTATAGCAGGATCATATGGTAGTTCTATTTTTAGTTTTGTTTTAGTTTTTTGTTTGTTGGTAGTACTGGGGTTTTGAACTCAGGCCTTATGCTTGCTAAGCAGACGCTCTACCACTTGAGACATGCCTCCAACCTGATAGATATATTTCAAAAGATAGTTTAGATATAGTTCTGACAAAAAGAGAAGACACAAGGATGTCTCCAACTAGTAGAATGGAACTGTGATTTACTGAGATAGGAATGACAAGAGAATAAGACATCCGAGGGGTGGGTGTGGCTCAAGTGATAGAATGCCTAGCAAGCGTGGGGCCCTGAGTTCAAACCCCAGTACCACGTGCAAACATGCACGAGAGAGACAGTGACAGACAGACAGTCATACAGACATCCTATGAGTAGGATAAGAGGGTGGAGAATCAAGAGTTTAATTTTGAACATAGTAAATTTGAGTTGCCTGTTACACATCCAAATAGATGCTGGATGTCTACAAGTATGGAAATACATACATGTTATCTACTAGCTATTGGATGATATGCAAATCTAGAGTTGAGGATAGAGATTGAGATTGGAGATGTAAAATTAAAACTGATATTAATGCCAAGGGATAGATGGTATCACTTAGGGAGTGGATAGCTAAATAATAATCTTTGTCCATGACTTTTTACAGAGGAAAGAAAATTTCCTAGGAAATTCTAAATAAATTCACATTTGGGAACTTCATTTTACTAACTAGCTCAGTAACTGTTCAGAATTTTAGTGTAATGGTTGAAGACATGAACACTAAAGCCAAGACTACCTTGGTTTGTAGCCTGGCTCTTCTGTTACTAGCTGTATGATTTATACAAATCTATATAGCCTTTCATTTATCTTGTGCAACTAAGGATAATAATGGTGCCTTTCCATAAGGTTGTTATGAGTTAATTTAGCACAGTTAGTTAATTAGTTAATTAACAGTTAATTAGTTGATTAATTTAGTACAGTTCTTTGGCACATAGTAAGCATTTTAAAAAGATTGGCTAGTATCATCATTAAATCTAACAAGTTTTGGCACATGATATAACATTACTAACTTGATTTAATATTCCACCAGAGCAGGCATGTTTTGGAAACAGAAAAAATAACATTTTAGTAGACGTTGGAGGTTGTTGATATTTTTAAGTCATTCCCACTTGTAAATCAGTGTTTCAACACCGTATTCTCAGTTAATTATGTTCCTGTTTAGGTCACAGTGCTGTTGATATCACCAAGGTGGCTAGAAGACACCGTATGTCTCCTTTTCCTCTGACATCTATGGACAAAGCCTTTATTACAGTCCTGGAGATGACTCCGGTGCTTGGGACAGAAATCATCAATTACCGAGGTACTTATTTGCCCATTGCCTTTTCTTTTCTTCATTTTCTAAGTAAGATTCATGTAACATAAATGTGCAGTTTTCTTGAATGAGAAAGGTAATTAGCTATTGTCACAATTATAATTATCCTGTTTCTTTTTTCTACTCAACTATAGGATCATCCTTAACAATACAGAGTATACACCACAAAGCTTTTTTTTTTTTTCCATTAAAAAAGGAGGAAAAGCTAGCTGTATTTCTAATTCAAGCCCTCAAGAGAGGGCTGTCAGCAGTTAGTGGGGAAATAGTTAACTTTGAGTCTGGTTGATGACTTTTCTATCAGAAGTGGGAGGTAACTAATGTGTCTTATAATCACGCTTAGCTATTGTAGAAAACACAGTCTATGATTTGCAGTGGTTTTACTTAAAATTTTCCAACTTGGGCTAGAGGTATGACTCAAGTGATAGAGCACCTGCTTAGCAAGTGCAGAGCCCTGAGTTCACACCCTAATACCACCCCCAAAAAATTATTTTCAACTTTATGATAATGCAAACATTTACATAGTTAATAAAGCTGCCTTTCTAATTGTACACTTTGTTATTTTCCTGGGCTAACAATATGTGGTATGATACTGTCTGGTGATGCTGGGCAACAGCAGCAATCTGCAGCTTCTGGTTGGCCACATGGTCACCAGGCTACACAGTGTATTGTGTTAAGAGCTATAATGTGCAGTATGTTGGGTATATCAAGCATGTGTTTATTTGTTTGTTCGTTTGTTTGTTTTGCAACAGGGTTTCACTGTGGAGCTCAGGTTGGCCTTGAGCACATGATTGTCCTGCTTCAGACTCCTAAGTGCTGGGATTACAGGCATATACCACCACACCTGGCTTAAATGCATCTTTGACTTGATGATATTTTCAACTTACAATGGGTTCATTAGGACATAACACCTTCATATGTTAAGGAGGATCTGTATTTAAATGAAACCTATAAGAAACACACTAATTTATCCATGAATCACTAAGCAATCCGTCTGATATTAAACTTTCTACTTAATCTAGTTTTCGTTATTTCACTTTTAGTCTAGTAGCACATTGAGAGCAATTTATAGATAGACAATTGAAAGGTAGTTGTATTAAGTCAACTCTTTATCAATATAACAAAATAACAGAGACAATTAACTTATAAAGAGAAAGGCTGTTTGGCCTCATGTTTCTAGCACTTCCAGGCCATGACTTTGAACCTCTGATGAGATAGCACATCATGGCAAGAGCACGTGGCAGAGCAAACCACTTACCTCATGAGCCAGGAGGTGGGGGGAAGGATCTGGGGTTTCACAGTCTGCTCTGAGGACACAGACCTAAGAACCTCCACAAGTCCCATCCTTCTAAAGGTCCATAGTGTCTCCCAATAGCACCACTCTGGGTTCTAAGCCTTTAAGACACAGGCCTTAGGAGAACATTCAGCAGTCAAACTATAACAGCAGTGTTCATGATTATAGTTAGTTTTTAATCAACAACTTCCATGTCTAACAATTCACCATAGATTGTATTTAGACATTGAGTCTCAGCAGACTAGGATCCTGAGGAGAACTTCCAGCCAATAACATTTGTGGTCTTAATAAATGTAGTCTTAATAAAATGTCTTAATAAAATGTAGTTCCTAATTATTTTTATTATAGCAGATAGAGCAACACAAAAGAATTGGTTTTATAAGTAAAACACTTTATTCATAGAATCTTAAAATCTTCAAACTGAAATGAAAACAAACACCCTAATTTTTCTGTAAGGATACTCAGAACAGATGAAAATGAAAAAGACATAGTCTTTTTCTACATGGTAGTTTTCTTCCAGCATTAAGATATTAAAAAACAATGGTAGCTAACAAATTATGATAAAAACCTAAAATTAGTTGTATAGTTTCTAAATCTTACATCTTTGACTCACATTCTTTTAGGCTTAAACTTTTTCTTTTGTTTCTGTTTTACTTCTTATTAAAGGAAATAAAACTCAGAAAAATCACTAGAGTAGGAAATTTGTTAGGAATTAACTGTTATCTCAGAAATCAACTATAATTAACTTGTTTTCTCTACTTTAAATGTAAATATTCAGGGACTGGAGGTGTACCTCAAGTGGTAGAGCACACAAGGTCCTGAGTTCAAATCCCAATACTAAATAAATAAATGTAAGTTGCAGCTATCTATGGATATCAGTCTAAACCAAGATATTTTTAGAACATATGAATGTGAATTTAAGTTTTAAAAAATTTGAAATTGAGGTATGGATCAAGTGGTAGAGGGCTTGCCTCTTAAGTGTTAGGCCCCAAGTTCAAACCCAGTACTGCCAAAAATAAAAAGAAGTTGTAAAAAATTTAATGACACCTCACCTAGCATAAAAACAAATTATCATCTCTAGTCTCATAATTTCAGCAGACTTCCCTTTAGCATTGATCCTTAGAGAAACCAATCTGATCTTTCAAATCATTTTTAGACAAAAATTTCAGTCTTTTTAGGAAAAGAGATTTGGGAATGGCCATTCATTTTTCCTCTAGCAGAAAATTGCTGTCAAGTGTATTCTCTTTTCCCTTCTTGTGTTATTTCCCCTTTATTTGTTCATCAGAGCAGTTGTCACTTGTAAGGAAGCAAACTCTTCATGGATGGTTAACTTTTTCTCAAGTGTTTCCACCAATAATGATGAAAAATAATGATGAGATTTGCAATAAGCCCTTGAGTTGGATCAAATTCAATTTTTAATGTGAAAGAGTATTAGAATTAGAATTCTTAACCAGTTTAGTTAAGTGCTTAGGAAACATCATATATAAAAAGATAATTTATTTTGTTCAAAAAATATTGATTAAGCATCTACTAAATTACTATGTGAAGGTATTTTTATAAAAAGATGAAGGAAATAAAATTCCCATTCCATGTATCTCATACTCTAATGCAGAAGAGAGTTAGGTAAGCATTGTGATACTTGTCTCCTTTATTGTGTCTTTTGCAAGCATCCCTACCTTTGTGAATTTTTTTTCCTTTTTTTATTGTTTTATTATTCATATGTGCATACAACGCTTGGGTCATTTCTCCCCCCTGCCCCCACCCCCTCCCTGACCACCCACTCCACGCCCTCACTCTCCCCCCACTCCGCGCCCTCTCCCCCCCACCTCCTCAATACCCAGCAGAAACTATTTTGCTTTAGAGTTTTTTCTTTGCCCCTTTTATATCTTGTACACAAGCTTTACATGACCTTACACATTCTGGTGGTTTCAGATACCACTTATAAAGTGATTTTGAAGTCTGTCACGGCCCAGAGTTTGCATGACAAATTCACATGTCATATGGATTACATATCTGCTGCTAATAAGTTTAACTTGACAATGCTAAGCTTTTTTCTCTACCTCTGAAGTACATGTTTCTTCTATATCCTCTAGAACTCATCCCTTGATCTCCGTCCTCACTGCTATTATTTTTGTTTAGGTCTTTGTTACCAACTTCCTGGATTATTATAACAAGCTCCCTCCAATTGACATCTTTCCAATCCATTCTCCAAAATGCCAAAATAATCTATTCACATGGCAAATTTGTTATTAACACTTCCTACAATTCTCCAGTACAATGAAAATGAATATAATACAAGTTAAAACTAAACTCTTGACATATCTTTGTTTCAGCTTCTTATCTTAACTACCTTATCCTCAGAACTTGTTCTCCACAAACCTGAAATGCTGTGTTTCTTGCCTCTTATTTTCTCTTACCTCTGAGACTTTACTTATATTGTCTTTTAATTGAAGCTTTATCTTATTTCTCTGCCTGGTAACTACTACATATTTTTTAAAAAGCAGGCTTAAGAAGCTTCTCCATGAAGACTTTCCTCATGTCTGCTCTGCCTTTCCATAGCTGGCTTAACTACCCTTTCCTTGTGTTCTTATGTTTTATGATAGAACAGACTGACATATTTGTTTGTGATCTGTGGAGAATGCTATAATAAATAACATGGGCATATAAAAGTAGAGTGCTATAAGTGTGAGTTACCATAAATTAAATTGCCAGAAGTTTAATGTAGCCTGTGATTTTATTACTGAAGAGAATTCTCCCCAGAAAAAGGGTTAGGAACTTATTCTCACTATACCTTAAAATGTTGTATTTACTAGGGGATGGGGCAAGAAAATTGGAAGCATCCTGTTTGACTCCATGAATAAGAACAGTCATGGTAACGAGGGAGAGACTATATTCTGAATAAAGAGATAGAGGAAGAGCATTAGGAAGGTAATGAAGGCATTTTAGGTAGGCTAAAAGGGATAAAGAAACAGAAAGGTGAAAGTTCCAACCCCAGCTTCCTGTGGGGGAGCTGAAGACACAACCACAAGGTAAGCCAGATGATCCTGGTGACAGACTGGCAATTCTAACCTCAGGATAAGGCCGCACTTCCTACAAGCTTTAAGTGCAGTGTGGGGATTTGGTATAATAGTGACTGTTTCCATACAGCAAGCTTAAAGAAGAAAGACATCTTGTCATTCCCTTTAGTTTGGAGAACTATAGTGGAGTACTATCTTGAGAGTAGGCCTATTATTTGAGACTGACCTTGGGCAATTGAAAAAAGAAACAATCATGGCTCAGGGAACTACAACCCGACATATTGTCTGGGTGGCAGACAGCCATAGAGGTAGTTGTGGAGAAAGAGAGTTCTGATGTGGACCCACCAAGAAGTTTAAACAGCAGGGAACTCAGAAGTGAAGGGTTCCCTAGTGAAGAATGAATCCCATCACCTGAGGGTCACTATAGAAACAGAGCAACAAACCAATGCTGGCAGAGTGCTCAGCCCCCTAGCTACAAGTATTTACTGCCAGGTGGGACAAAGAGCTCTGAGTCCAGGTATCACAAATCACATAATTTCCCCAGCCTCGTCCCACTCACATATGGTGAACTCCTAGGTAGGGTATGAAAGCATTGAGACTGGCCTCTGGAATCTGCCTCCCAGCTGCATGTGTTTGCTGCCAGGTGGAACTAAGAACTCTAAACCCAGGTCCTGAGAACC